TAGATTGTTCTATGGTTCTGTGAAACTACTAAGCTTTCTTATCATAACAAAATGGTGACTAGTAAAAAAGATGTTGTTGTTGTTATTATTATTATTATTAAATTCTTCAACTGAAAATTTATTGTTAAATACATTACAAACTAAATCTATAATTTAAAACTATTCATCAAATAAGAGTATGTAATGCTATTCTCTTCCTAATTTCAATAAAATTATATTAGTATATTAGTATAAAATAAAAACCAATATGAAATACAGTAGAGCATTATCTGAATACCGATCAACTTAAACATCGGTTAACCAAAAGCTTTCCAGTTGGCAAATTCAAATTTCCACTAGTGCTGTGGCATTGCAGCACTCTCTCCCTCCCTGCCTACTTTATGTAAGGTATATATTTGTAAGATGTGTGACACAAAATATATACAGTACAGTTTTGTGTTTAATATATTTTTTCATAAATGATCAGTTATCTGAACAACCCGTCCTGAATTGTTTTGGATAATCAATGCTCTACTGTATGTGTAAAACTAAATCTATGACTTCAAATAATTTATAACTGATTCATTTAAAATGGCAAAATAAAAAATTTACTTGATTAAAACTACTATAGATTATATTTGACAATATTTCAAAACCTACATACTATGGTTATACTTTTTTTTTATTAAAAAATAAAGTTATATAGATTTCAAAATCCTTGTTCTTGAATTCAAGAACAAATATTACATAATGCAAAGAAAAAATGCCTTCATAAAGGAATGGCTTCTGTAAATAATACTATTTGTTACAGTTTGAAATTATTTAAGAACTTTATAAAGTCAAAGTTTTCTTAAAGTACAAATTTTCTTAAATATCAATTATTTATCATTTTAACATTAATAATGTTACAATAATATAGATAGTCAAGATTATGCTTAAATTGTATACTTAAGTTTTATTTAAAAATAAAAAAAAACACACCTTCACAAGAAATTTCACATTTCCTTAATCCCAAAGTCAATAATGTAAAATTAGACAGAAGCCCAGGTTTCATATTATGAATTCCATCATTAGTAATACCATTATGACCAATATTCAAATTTTCTAAACATTTTGAAGAACTCTGGAATGCATATTAATAAAAATAAAATATTAAAATCAAATGTGATGATCTTAAATCTAACAATCCTCAAATAATGAAAATAGATGATCTATATAATTATAGATAATACGATAATGATATGAAATTACAGTACTTCCTCTTAACACAAAACAAAACAACCCCAATGGTTCTTTGGTGGTTTGACTCCAATGTTTCATGTCTCTTCACAATGTTTTTTTTTCATTTGTATTGCAATTTATAATAAATTTTTTAAAATAATATATTTATTTAATAAATGTGTAATCAATAAGTAATACTTTAAAAATCTAATATAGAATAATCAATTGTAAGACAAAATGAAAATGCTGTTATTTAAAATAATGTGAGGCATATTAATTAAAAAAATACAATGGTTCTTTGTACTTTGAATGCTTCAGGGTTTAAATGCTAAATTTTACAAAAATTTGCTTCAGAGTTCAAATGAATCAGTCTAGGCATTCGTTTGATTCTTCTTTTCCTTGAAAAAAGTTCATGCAATTGTACATTTAAGAAAACCTGGCCCGAGTGAATGAATTTGAAACTTGATTAACTCATGATGATGGCATTTGTTCAGTTCATTGCATAATTTGTGAAACCTCATTTAGTGTTAAATATGATGGAATGATGTGTTTATGAAGCATACTGATTATGCACTTCTTTTTTAATATTTCTCACATTCTAATTTATCTTCCCCCCAGTCATCGCATCAGCCAACAAGAAGAGCTTCCAAAGATGGCGACCCTAGATGACAAGAAATAATTCTTTGGGTAAAAGGGAATTAACTGTAATTTCTTTGAGAGTAGTGTTGCAATATTAACTTTATCTAAAATAAGATTACAAAGTTATTTTGTAGTACACAATAAAAGGAAAATTTTCGGGTTTCTTTCAAAACATGACACTGAATTTCACTTTCCATTCTTAAGCTTGATGTTTATTAATTAATGAATGGAGTATGCTTGTAATGTATATTTAATTTTTCTAAACTAAAATAAAAACTTTATAAAATATTTTTAAAAAATCGAAATTGAGAGTTTTTGGCAGAATTTGAATTGAAATTGGAATCAGGAGAAATTTTGTTATCGTCCCATCACTACTTCCTAGATTGTTCTATGGTTCTGTGAAACTACTAAGCTTTCTTATCATAACAAAATGGTGACTAGTAAAAAAGATGTTGTTGTTGTTGTTGTTGTTATTATTATTATTATTAAATTCTTCAACTGAAAATTTATTGTTAAATACATTACAAACTAAATCTATAATTTAAAACTATTCATCAAATAAGAGTATGTAATGCTATTCTCTTCCTAATTTCAATAAAATTATATTAGTATATTAGTATAAAATAAAAACCAATATGAAATACAGTAGAGCATTATCTGAATACCGATCAACTTAAACATCGGTTAACCAAAAGCTTTCCAGTTGGCAAATTCAAATTTCCACTAGTGCTGTGGCATTGCAGCACTCTCTCCCTCCCTGCCTACTTTATGTAAGGTATATATTTGTAAGATGTGTGACACAAAATATATACAGTACAGTTTTGTGTTTAATATATTTTTTCATAAATGATCAGTTATCTGAACAACCCGTCCTGAATTGTTTTGGATAATCAATGCTCTACTGTATGTGTAAAACTAAATCTATGACTTCAAATAATTTATAACTGATTCATTTAAAATGGCAAAATAAAAAATTTACTTGATTAAAACTACTATAGATTATATTTGACAATATTTCAAAACCTACACATCCATTTGTTAAATACTTTTAGGAGTGAATAAATTATTACTTTTTTTTTCTTAAAAAATAAACACTTTCCATTATTATCTTCATTAATTTTCTCTTTGGATATATTTTTTTTCTTCTTTAATTTCTGATTATGTACAATTAAAACTTGAAAACAACTCAAAGTAATGACTCTTCGTTTCCTGTTTCACAAATATAAGCATCATCTTACAATTTTTATGCTTTTTCCCTTTAATATTTCAAAGATAATTGAGGTTTTGGTATAAGGACTTTCGTGTTTCTTTCCTTTTTTTTTTTCCTTATAGAACTAAACTTTCTTGGTATAAAAATTCAAATAAAAATATATGAAAAATATATATATGTTAATAAGAACTGATAATGAAAATAATATGCACAGGTAATGAATGAGTTGTAATTAATTATAAACATTAAGCTGTAAATAAATAAATTGTTAGTGCTAAGTTTAAATAAGCAATAAAGCAGAAAGTAAATTATAAATAAGTTATTTATAAAGAGTTATTAAGTAATAATTTTAAATAAATTAATTTTATATAATCTAATAATTATATATTGTAAATTATAAATGTTGGTAGAGGATTAAAAATACATAAATGACAGATGTTCAATTGTAACTAAATAAATTTACTTAATAATAAATCGTAAATAAATTGCACATAAATAAATCAGATAGTAAGTTGCCATTAAACCATTAAACAATTATATAAGGCTTGTATTGACGTGAACATAATGAATTATCTTAATTCCTGGGGTTCTTCTAGGTTCGATCTCGGATTCAGGAGAGAAGTAGGATGACGCCTTAATCTCTTCGATAGTTATAAGTCAATTTTATTAATAATAAAGAATTGCTGACAAATTATATTTTTTTACCCTATAAGTAACAAGGAAAGAGCTTAGAATCTTACAGAAANGGAAGTAGTAAAAAAAAAATATTATCTAAAAATGAAATTATTGGTATGCATAATGAAAAGGGAATAGTTGTAACTAAGTGGAAAGATACACGGGATGTGCTTATGTTGTCTACAAAACATACAACAGAAATTACTTCTACAGGTAAAAGAAACCACAAACAAGAAGAAATTTTGAAACCTAAAATAGTTCAATACCCGTTTTCCCAATATTGTAGTCTTGATTTATCTGATCAATATTCTAGTTACTCAACTGCAGTACGAAAGTCAGTACAATGGTATCACAAAGTTGCAAAGGAGCTTATATATGGGACTACTATTGTCAATGCACATATTATTTACAATAAGATATCTAATAAAAAGTATCTATCTATTACCACCTTCAAAGAGTTTTTAGTGAAAAGCTTACTCAATGGCGGTGACAAGTAATCAAGAACCTGCAGCTCAAAACCCAAAACAACATACATTGGTAACAATGTGTGTTGTTTTGGACAAGACAAACAGAAAACTAAGGAAGCATTGTGCATCCTGCTATGCTAAACATACAGAGTGATTTGGAAGTCTTAATGCCACAAGTTGCTACATATTGCACAGTGTCCAGGAAAACTGCAATGTGTTCAAATTGTTTTGTAAAAATTCATAAATGAATATTATATATGTATGTATAATTTTATATTCATTATAAATTTTTCTCTAAATATATATTATTTCCACTTATATACGATTTTTGTTCTGTAATATTATTTACTTTATATGTAATAAAAGCAAATAATTAAACTAGTTTTTGTTTTTTATCCTTTTTTCACCTATTCACTATTTTAAAAACACTATCAGATATAAAATAGTTTTTTATTAAAAAAACACTGCGACCTGCCAGTCGTTGGACAGCTGGAGGTCAAAACCAACTTCATAGCTATCCATGAGAGGCCACCACTAGCATGTAAAACATCTTACAAAGCCAGGAAAATTTAACCTTGAGTGAAACTGCATTGTTTAGGTGACGACAGGCAGTCAGATGGCTCTGTACAGCCGTAACTAGTATGACTGCCGGTGCGGCGGATGGCAGTTAACATGTTAAAGATGTGACAAACCTCACCCCACTGAAGTCAGGTGGTACCACCCACAGCCGTTTTCTAAGAAGTGGACTCTGATCCTAGAAACTGAACATAAAATTCATAATCTAATTTTGTAAATCAGGGAGTGCTTTAAATATGATGTTAAAACGGGGTTTTATGTCATTACAAGTGGGTTTTTTTTAACATTATCTAGTATAGTAAAATCATGGGACCAATAAAAATTTGACATTACACTAGGGTTGTTGTTACATCCGATGAAGTTATAATCAGGCTAAATTGTATTTTAGAAACTATCATTTTATTATTAGCAAGAAAAAAAAAGAGATAAAAGCATTAGAAATTACAAACTATTATAATAATTTAAAGACAAGGCAATTATGGTAATGAATAAATACTTACTCCAACCTTCCATTAACCTTGTTGGAGATAGTGGAATTGAGCTCTTTAAGTCCAAACAATCCAATTGTTTACAAAGTTTTAAATTACATTGCAATTTCTGTAAATTTTCTAATGGAGTACTCATACGGCGTTCCGTTTTTGTATGATGAGAACTACTCAAAATATCAGGTAAGTTGAAAACTACAGTTTTTTCCTTTGGTTCTTGTATGTTTGATTTAGTATCTACTGCTATAATAGATAAATTATTTTCAATATTTTCCTCTGGATACTTTGAATTGTCAATAAATATTTCATCATCCATTTCAGATTCAATCTGAATTTCTTGAAGTGTTTCTTTTTCTTCTGGAATCTTACAATTGACAGTTTTGTCAATAATTTGACATGGACTCTTATTTGTATGTTTCCAAATAGTATTATTGTTATCCTCAGCAATAGTCACTGAAGATTTTAATTTATCTGATAAATTTTGTATAGTATCCAATTCTGAAATTGGCTGATTTTTTTTAACTTGTAGTTCCTTGTTACCTAAATTAATATCAGAATCCTTAGCAACAAGAACATCTGTTTTGTCAGAAATTATTATTTTTGATTTCAGTTCATCTGGTTTTTCCGTTTCTCTTTCCAAGAAAACCCTACTAACTTGGAAACGATTTGGAACTGGATTAGGAATCTTAATGGATGGAGGCGTAGGAGTTAACTTAAAAATCTTATTATTTGGTGATATACATATTTTCTCTTCCACAGTCTCTTTCCTTCCTTTGTTTCTTTCACAATATTCTGACATTTCCTTTAAAATCCAACAGTGATCATCAAATCCATCCTATAATAAAAATGATTATTTAGAACAAAATTGATTAAATTAATATATAGGATAACATCATTTAAGTAAAAATTTCTTACTGTTCCCTTTGTAATTACAGCATCTAGTTCTAAACTTTCAATACTGTTATTATGTTTCATAGATAATGCTAAAGCCATCAGTCCTGCAGCTTTGATATCATTTTCTTTCAAATCTAATTTTTTAATATGTTTGTTATCAGCAATACATTCTGCTAATGCTACAGCACCTAAAAAAATTAAATAAAAATTCAATTTAAATAAATTTATTATTTTAGAAGAATATTTCAAGGATCAATAACCAGAGGAATATAGCTACCAAATTATTGTTTCAGCTATTTTGATCTTTTAATATTAAAGGTTTTATAACAAAATTTGTTCCTGAAAATTCTTGTTTAAAAAATTATTTCATATAGAAGTTTGACTTTATTTTTAGGATTTGTTTTTCATTTTAACTTTTCCAATAACAAGATAACTTTTCACTTTTCTATACAATTTCTTTTTGATTGATGCATTTCTCTCATTTTTGATCCAGAATTTATTTTAGAGATGCCACGAATATTCGGCTACTATTCGGTATTCGGCCTATTCGGCTACTTTTTTTAATATTCGGTATTCGGCCGAATACCGAATACCAAATCATGAAAAAAAACCGCACATATTACTCAAAAACGTATTTATTTTAATCATAAATTATTACATTTAATACTTAAAATCTATCAGTGGTAAGTTGTAATGAATGAAAACAATTTTTTCAGCATTTGTTGATAGCAAACGATTGCGCTTTTCCTCATAAACTATACCTGCTTCTGAAAATAGCCTCTCACTATATACACTACTGCCGGGAGACGATAGATAAATCTTAGCGAATTCTGTCAGGCTTGGATACTGTTTTACGTTTGCTGACCACCGCTTGTAAAGGTTTGCCATCCAATCTAAGCGAACAGTTTTCATATAAAGTGATACAGTGATATTTTTTAGTAATAATTAGTAATGCAATTTGATGTAACAATGAACAAATAATGCATGTTGTGACATGATCTACTCGCAAATAAAAGAAATGTGCCCGCAGTGTCACTACCGCACCCACCGCAATGTATCAGGTCGTAACATATCACCCGCGAAATGTACACATATTTTGCCGAACATTCGGCCGCCGAATATTCGGCGCTTCGGCCAAGAGCGTAGCTGAATGTTCGGTATTCGGTATTCGGCAAAATCACTATTGGTGGCATCACTAATTTATTTCACAAGGTATGTTCCAAAAGTAATAATCTACTATAAAAAATAATTTTTATTTCAACAAAAAAATTTAAGCTGTATTGTCACCTTCAAAATAAGTTCTTTGGGAAATGCACACAGTATTCCCAAAGCTTTTGCTATTCCTGATATCAATTTTGAAAGTCAGCTTCCATTAAGCTTTTCATAACCTGTGTTGGGTCTTCTGGATACTCTCTAATGATGACCTTTCAACTTGGTGTTTCTATTTTCAAAATGAAACAAAACACATGTCTAAACTGTAGGGTAGATGTGAGTACTCGGAGTTTTTGGCAGAAAATATATTTAACAGTGAAGTGTGACTGGGACATTGTTGTGGTGGATAGCATTCAGGAGTCAGCATATAATTATGATGTAATATCCATATTTGGGCCAATTCTGTGTTTGCAACTGCTGGTCAAGGAAATCTGGCAATTTTTTGAATGTGGACCCTTTGCCTAATCCATGAATGCAAATCTTGTTTACCTAGGTGACATCTGAGCCAGTATTATTCTGACAATGTCTAAATAATTTTTTTGTTTTTTCCACAGAAATGGATAAATTTATATACTGTGCCTATAATATATTATAGGTCAGATGTTTATAAATCAGCCATTCTTAGCATGGAAAACAAACACTGCTTACAGTTGCTCTTAGTTTCCTTATTCTCCCATATATCTTACTCTTACCCATATAAGACAGGTAGCCTACTGAAAGCTTACACTCCTTCCTAGTAGGGATGGGACGATTAATTGGAATTGGAAAAAATAGGACAATTTCTGGGTAAGAAAATCAGAAATTGAGCAAATCTCATCACAATTTCCAATTCTTAAAACGATTCTTTCACATTTAACGAGAAAATTAATTATTTGTTTCAGTCGAACATTAAAAAATTTTAAAAATTATGATATTAACAATGAAGCATTAGTTTATTGGAAATTTTCACATTACCAAAGTAGAGAGTATGCGACACCCATATGTGAGGTGATATCTGTCATGGCAGACTTTTCTTTTGCATAGTCAGAGTGACGAGAGATTGTACTTGGTTAGTACTGACTGTCCCATTTTATGGGAGGTAGGGTGACATTAGTTTGCCACCCAGCTGGTATTGAGTTGGCTTGACCGGCAATTTCAAATTGAGGCCAGTGGTCGACAAAAGTATTTAAGTGTCCACAAAACAGTTTAAAATATAAACAAAATTACATTTTAATTGAAAAAATATTATATAAAATTGTTTCTAATATTTAGCATGTTTATTTAAAGTGTTGCTCAAGCATTTTATCATTATAATTTACTTAAATGAGCTTTTTTGACCTCTTTTCATAGTTCTGCATCAAGTTTAACAAGAAGATTCAAACTGTTTAAGAAGACAGTTTGAATTTTCTTGTTAAACCTGACAAACCTTGAAAAGAGGACGAAAATGCTCATTTAAAGTGTTAGTTTCAACAACAACTTAATACTTTTTACTAAATTAGTTTCAGCCTATATAGAAGTATTTTTTAAATGATAAAACAACTTTTCCATTATAACTATGGATGTTTTTGTTATGATTCAAACATGATGCTGTAATACATTAAATTTTCAATTGCGATTTGCACAATACTAAGTTTACTGCCACTTGAGTTTTTAAAAATTGATTTTACTTTCCCAGTTCTGGCTATATACCAGAGGAAAAGTATGGTGATCGGTCAAAAAATTTGATCCTTCAAAGATTTTTACATTTTTGAACTAGAGACCTCAAAACTTTGAAGAAATGCAAAAAAATTTGGAGGTTTTTCTGTATGTATGGATGTGTGTGTGGAGGGGCATGATTTTGTTCACCCTCTATGAAGCTTAACTCCTGTGCTTTTTGTCAAAAATTTCTGAAATTTTGCAGAAAGGTTTGTTTATGGAGCAGTGATGTTATTAAATTTTGGTAATTAAAAGTGCAGGGGGCGGGGAGATAAAGGGGGGTCATATCTCCAGTAGGGTTGAACTTAATGACAATTTTACTTGTTAGTAGCACTTACAATTCTTTTTATAAATATCATCCCTACCCTCAAAATTAAGGTTTTTGCCATTTGATAAGAGATCATATTTTTAATTATTATTAAAAAAAACTTTATAACAGATAGCACCACCAAATGTTGCTGGAAAAGTTAAGCAACTTGTTGCTGGATTTTTTCAAGATGAATCAGTCTAGGCATTCGTTTGATTCTTCTTTTCCTTGAAAAAAGTTCATGCAATTGTACATTTAAGAAAACCTGGCCCGAGTGAATGAATTTGAAACTTGATTAACTCATGATGATGGCATTTGTTCAGTTCATTGCATAATTTGTGAAACCTCATTTAGTGTTAAATATGATGGAATGATGTGTTTATGAAGCATACTGATTATGCACTTCTTTTTTAATATTTCTCACATTCTAATTTATCTTCCCCCCAGTCATCGCATCAGCCAACAAGAAGAGCTTCCAAAGATGGCGACCCTAGATGACAAGAAATAATTCTTTGGGTAAAAGGGAATTAACTGTAATTTCTTTGAGAGTAGTGTTGCAATATTAACTTTATCTAAAATAAGATTACAAAGTTATTTTGTAGTACACAATAAAAGGAAAATTTTCGGGTTTCTTTCAAAACATGACACTGAATTTCACTTTCCATTCTTAAGCTTGATGTTTATTAATTAATGAATGGAGTATGCTTGTAATGTATATTTAATTTTTCTAAACTAAAATAAAAACTTTATAAAATATTTTTAAAAAATCGAAATTGAGAGTTTTTGGCAGAATTTGAATTGAAATTGGAATCAGGAGAAATTTTGTTATCGTCCCATCACTATTTCCTAGATTGTTCTATGGTTCTGTGAAACTACTAAGCTTTCTTATCATAACAAAATGGTGACTAGTAAAAAAGATGTTGTTGTTGTTATTATTATTATTATTAAATTCTTCAACTGAAAATTTATTGTTAAATACATTACAAACTAAATCTATAATTTAAAACTATTCATCAAATAAGAGTATGTAATGCTATTCTCTTCCTAATTTCAATAAAATTATATTAGTATATTAGTATAAAATAAAAACCAATATGAAATACAGTAGAGCATTATCTGAATACCGATCAACTTAAACATCGGTTAACCAAAAGCTTTCCAGTTGGCAAATTCAAATTTCCACTAGTGCTGTGGCATTGCAGCACTCTCTCCCTCCCTGCCTACTTTATGTAAGGTATATATTTGTAAGATGTGTGACACAAAATATATACAGTACAGTTTTGTGTTTAATATATTTTTTCATAAATGATCAGTTATCTGAACAACCCGTCCTGAATTGTTTTGGATAATCAATGCTCTACTGTATGTGTAAAACTAAATCTATGACTTCAAATAATTTATAACTGATTCATTTAAAATGGCAAAATAAAAAATTTACTTGATTAAAACTACTATAGATTATATTTGACAATATTTCAAAACCTACATACTATGGTTATACTTTTTTTTTATTAAAAAATAAAGTTATATAGATTTCAAAATCCTTGTTCTTGAATTCAAGAACAAATATTACATAATGCAAAGAAAAAATGCCTTCATAAAGGAATGGCTTCTGTAAATAATACTATTTGTTACAGTTTGAAATTATTTAAGAACTTTATAAAGTCAAAGTTTTCTTAAAGTACAAATTTTCTTAAATATCAATTATTTATCATTTTAACATTAATAATGTTACAATAATATAGATAGTCAAGATTATGCTTAAATTGTATACTTAAGTTTTATTTAAAAATAAAAAAAAACACACCTTCACAAGAAATTTCACATTTCCTTAATCCCAAAGTCAATAATGTAAAATTAGACAGAAGCCCAGGTTTCATATTATGAATTCCATCATTAGTAATACCATTATGACCAATATTCAAATTTTCTAAACATTTTGAAGAACTCTGGAATGCATATTAATAAAAATAAAATATTAAAATCAAATGTGATGATCTTAAATCTAACAATCCTCAAATAATGAAAATAGATGATCTATATAATTATAGATAATACGATAATGATATGAAATTACAGTACTTCCTCTTAACACAAAACAAAACAACCCCAATGGTTCTTTGGTGGTTTGACTCCAATGTTTCATGTCTCTTCACAATGTTTTTTTTTCATTTGTATTGCAATTTATAATAAATTTTTTAAAATAATATATTTATTTAATAAATGTGTAATCAATAAGTAATACTTTAAAAATCTAATATAGAATAATCAATTGTAAGACAAAATGAAAATGCTGTTATTTAAAATAATGTGAGGCATATTAATTAAAAAAATACAATGGTTCTTTGTACTTTGAATGCTTCAGGGTTTAAATGCTAAATTTTACAAAAATTTGCTTCAGAGTTCAAACAATGCTTCAAAGTTTGAACTGTGTGCACAGTGAATAAATACACTCAAAGCATAAATGCAATCTGTTGTGTGTCCAATTGTCTCTCACTCTTGTATAATGCACACTAAGAAGGGATTTTTTGAAATTCCCCTGCAGGGGGGAAAGGGAGAGGATTAAGGCTTAAAAAGTCTTAGCCCTAAAAGGCAGTACCACAAACGTGGTTTACAAAGAGATACTGGGGTAACTGAAACTCTATTTTTCAGTAAATATTTATACTTTAGGAATTTTCAGATAATGTAATTTATGTTTCAAAGAAAAATTGAACTCAGATTTATTGTATCTCAGAATCCCATAATATTTGAAACTTGAATTTAGGTGCATTAGCAGTCCATAGTTTGAAACAAACAAATCAGTAATTTTACCAAATTAGTAACAACTAATGATTGAGAATCTTAGTGAAGTACCGAAGGAGGGTTATTTCCATCAAATTGCAAAATCCTTGTGGGCAAAGCTGCAGGTAACAGCTAGTGCTTGTATATTTTCAGTGCATTTTTGTTTTATTTTTGGCGTGTTTGGTTATATATGTTGTGTATTATTCATCAATTTTTATTCATTAACAGCTTTTTGGCATCTTGTATGTATTTTATCCTTTCTTTCAAAATTTCTTGAACAGTAGTTTTTAACATTTAACAAGTTCAAAGTTCCTCATACACATTATGAATTTCTTTTACTGTTTGTATGGTATTTAATCCTTTCCAAACTCAAAGCATAAATGTCTGATATGCTTTTATATCTGAAAGCATTTTCAACTTGATTTTATTCAAATATAATGTGAAATAAAAAGTTTAAAATAAGTTCTATGGACAGAGAATACATTCTCATATTAGCTATAATGTGTTAAATTTCACAACTGTCACAACAAAATCATGCATCTATATTAAGTAACAGCAGCTGTTAAAAAATACTCAAACTTTCTGTTCAACCCAATATAACCTTTACTTATTAACCATGGTATCCAAGAAGTGTATGGAAGCAACAAAGTCTAAGAGGAAGGTTGTAATATTGATGATTGAGATGGAAAAGGAACTTATTACAAGTATGAAAACAATACACTCATGTCAGATCTGTCAGCTATGTTTAAGATGCCAAAGTCAACAGTGTGCAACCAGTAAATGCAATTTCATTTTATTTTATAACATTTATGTTTTAATTTATTATTAGAGCACTTAATTGTTATTTTTACCTTAAATTTTTTCATTTGCTGTTTTAAGTTTATGAAAATGGGTATTGTTTAGGGCCTGGAAATAGATTAATTCGCTTTCATTATTTCTAATGGAAAAAATTGATCCAGACATCAAATGATTAGAGTTCAAACAGCCTCCTGGAATGAATTAAATTCAAAGTACAAGTAACCACTGTAATTAAAAACAGGTAGGTGACATTTTCCAACAGATGAGATAAAATTAATTAGTAAAAGCAAACTTTGATGTCTCATAGGGCCCAAAATATTTGATTACAGAAAAATCAAATATAAATAATAATAAAAAAAATAGAACAAATGATGTAAGAGAACTTTTGCAATTATATTTTACTTTTATTTTCAAAACTAAATTTATATAATAAGATATAAAATGTTCAATAAAAAAAATGCCAAAATGTTTACTTGTAGATATAAAAAAACTAGCTTTAACCTTATTATTATAATAGGAATAGTTATAAGACACAAATATATGTATATATATAGAACATCATCAATCAATTATATTATTTTTGTATTCTTAATTTTTACTATTTGTTTGGCACCATAACAGCAAAATCATGTCTAACATTTGCTTATTACAAATTTAAATCTGAAGTAAAAATTTTTATATTACAAATATGCCATTTTTTAATTAATGTAGAATTCAAATGTATTATCATCAGAATATCTTATATAAGCAAATTGGAAATTATTCAGAACAACAAAACATTTATTTTAAAACTACACAGTAAATACTTTATATAATTTACTGAATGAGCTATGTTTAGATGAGCTAGTTTGAATTAGATTATGAATAAACTATATAATAAAGATTAAAAAATTCTGGAACAATTTAGTACTCTATTTTTTAGTTTTCCAGCTGAACTTGTTTGAGTAACAAATTATTATTATTATTATTATTATTTTATTGTGTATCATTCTCAGATTGTGGCAATCTCATAGGCAGGCCCAAGAGCCAAGCCTGTGAGACTAGTACGAAACCTTAAGTAGTTTGGAGAAATTTTCTGACATGACCAGTTGCCAGAATGGTAACCTTTTATAAGAATCTATATAAATTTAAGTGAATGTCTATTGTCTCCAGGCTTTTATATAATGAATGTGGGATAATTTCTGTGGCAGAGAACATTAATACAGTATGATCTTATTCCCTTTCCACATGCATTTTACTTCTTGAGAGAGTTCAATATTTTTCCTTATATTTTTATAAAAATTTCTTAAAATTGAAATTTTTCAGCCCCATTGAATATTTTAAAATGTTATTAATTTCATTAAAGTTCAGTACTGTCCTACTATAGATAGCAAAGCAACATTTGGCAAGTTTCCAGGAACTGTCTACTCTCATGCTGGGGAAGGAAAGTGGAAGGAGTGCACACCACTGAGAAACTATGAACACAATTTCTCCAAATTAATTAATAGATTCTAAAAAGTAAGTTGTCAATATGGTAACTTATTAATTAAATTCCGATTTTATTTGCAAATTTTTTTACTGATGTAAACAAACTCATTCTTTAAACGAATTACCCTATTTTCCTAATGGATTTGGTTTTTTCCACCCATGCACAGTAAAGTTTGTTGCTTTTCTTTATGTAGTCAGAGTATGTATACATATTTTTTCCATATAGTTATTTTGTAGATTATGTGTATTTGGTATAGCAATGTCAATGATATAAGTAGTTTTGTGCACTTTGTCATTGAGGATAAAACAAATATCACAATAGACAGCAATTATAACAGATAATATCCAATGTCAAAATATAGTGTGTGTTGTGTTCTCAAGGATAGTTTGTGGAATATACTTATAATATGGTATTTTTATGGTGACTAGTAAATATTTTTTGCTACATACTGGCAAATTATTTTAACGACCTAGTTATGGTCTGGCATAAACAAACTATTTATACAGACTTTTTCAGCTGCCTATGATATGCTTGTGTAGCATGACACTTCCTTTATGATATCTTTGATTAGTACAAGGGTCTACAGGAAACACAATGTATTGCAATCATAAAGCCTTCTGTTTCTCTAAAAAGACTCCCATCTCTCAGCCAGTGGTTTGATGCTGCCTTATCAACATGCAACTGTGCAAGATGAGCAGGGTGTCTAGTCTAGTGTGAGTGTTTTTCCTATCCATGCTTGTTGTTTTGTGTTCATAGGATCATTTGTGTTCTTTGTACTTTGTGTGTTCCTTAGGTTTAACGGTGTATAATTATCATCAACATGGACAATTGTATTGTATAGTGTAATGGTGATGATTGTTGTTTGGCATGGAAAAAGCTTTGTAGTACATCTATCTGTTTCTGATGGAGAATAAATCTCTACCACTTTCCAAAAATGGGAGGATAAGCCTTTCCTTATCAGAATCTGAGTGGTGCATTCTATACTTAGTGAATATTGTTTGGGTTTACAATTCAGGTCCTCAAGGTTTGTGCTAATCCAGTGAATGGTGCCAAACCAATAGATAAGTAGTGGAATAGCATATGTGTTGATGGTTTTTATTAGGTTTTTTGGAGTTTAAATGTGTTTTTAGTACTGATTTTAATCTGTTATAATTTAGTAAGTTCTGTTTTTATTTTTTGTGTTTAATTAGTTTGGTCTGATGAAACCCCAGATATCTATAGGTTGTCCCTTCATAGTTGTTATGTAATCTCCACTGTCAAGTTTGAAAGGACCATTCTCAGTAGTTCCTTTTTCAATATGCAATGTTTTACATTTATCTATGCCAAATTCCATCTGGATATCCTGAGAGAAAGTCTGTATAATCTTCAGGAATTGATATTAAAATATATGTTCCTATATGCACAAAAGTAAATCAACTATGTAAAGAAGAAATGAGAGAGTTAACTGTCTGTCTGTGTTGAGTTAAGTTATATCTATTTTGTATGTTATTAAGTGTAGTGAATAGAGGGTTAATGGCCATGCAAAACTAGAGGAAATCACCCTGAAAAATACCTCATCTTATGGTGTTTTGTGTATGTTGTTCTTGTGGATGTGTGGGTTCAGTGGGTAATGTGAAATTATCATTAGATTCTATTTGTGGTTGTAGCATTTGTGTTTCTGAATTATTATTTTTATATGGTTCTTCTGCTACTTACTGTTTGATAACGTCCACCTCGCTTGGAGTGTAAGTTTATTGCAAATTATTGTATGGCATTGCTCTGCTATACATCATTCAGCAGCAACATGTGGGTACATTTCCAGAAATCTTTGATGGATATCTTGTCTGTATAGGGTAAAATCAGTTTCAAGTTTTATGACTGTGTAGTATGTGTGCATTATATATTCATTTACTTCCATTGTCCCTTTCATATGCCAGCATTGTTATTATATTTTTACATTATATAAACATGGGGTAATTACTGTTTTTAAACTTACTAAATTACATCATATCTAATTTAGATACAGCATAGCAATTATAGATTACCATTAAAATAGATGTAATAATTAGTTTTAAACCAATTTAAGTTATTTATTATAATAAGACATTTAAATTTATACAAATATATATAACAACCAGGAAGGTAAAAATATAACAGAGGGGAAGTATGGAGATCAGTCAAAAAATGAACCCCCAAAATGTTTTTGGACTTAGGATCTCAAAACATCAAATGCAAATACATTTGGTTTCTTTTTGTGTGAATGTTAATGTGTGTGAGGAGGGGCATGATTTTGTTCACCCTGTTTGAAGCTTAATAATGCCTATGCCTTTTCACAAAAATTTCTGAAATTTTGCAGGAAGATTTATTAGGGTAATTGATATTAAATTTTAGTAGGTCAAGGTCAAGAGAAAGGGGCAATAGGGTCATGTTTGGTATGCTGTGTGAGGTAGGACTTGAGTAAGATTTTACTCATTATTAGCATTTGCAATTTTTTTTTTTTTATAAAACTTGTCTCTACTCTCAAAATTAAGCTTTTTGCCATTTTATAATTAGTAATTATATAAAAAGTTTTTAAAATAAAATATAACAGATGATGCCCACACAATTTTTTTATGGAAAGGTTATGCAACTTGTTCAATTTTTCTACAAGCTGTGGCCTTAGCTATCTATACAACTTACATGACATTTATTAAAATAATACTACTAAATGTATTGTCAATTACAAAATGATAAACACTGTAATGTACAAATTTATATTCTTAAAAATTTGAAAAAGTTCATATAACAAATTAGATAATAAATGAAATGTACAAAATGATTTTGAAATATGTAGAGTACATAATGTAGCTGATAATGTCTAAATTTCTTAAATAAATGTAAATAAATGTAAATTAATTAGAATGAAATTTTTTGATTTTTGTTTTATTTGTAAAATCATTCTCATTTATTGTAAAAACTGATATATTTCTTTTATTTTATGTGATTTTTGTTTTTTAAATAAATCATATAGTAAAATTACAAATTTTTCTTATTTGTTATCTAAATTATGCATATATTACTGCCAGTGCACAAGTGATATTTTGATGCAAGGCAATATGATGAGATATTCTTGTGTTAAAATATCACTCTTGTGCACCAGCACTTAATGATTAATTAGATAGAATAATATTTTACAGATATCAATAGACTGTCATAATAATAATTTGAATTATTTTCTTGAAAAAGTAAATAAATACAATTTAATTATGCTATTTTTAAATTATGTAATGCAATGCAAAAAATTAACATAACTTAATTCTAGTTTGGTATTTTATAATAAAAATCTGATTTATGAATTCTGTATAATTATATGTATTTATATTAGCTGGGAAAAAATTCTCACCAACAAGACTGAAACACTTTCCATTCCTTTATGAGTTAAATTATTATTCCATAATATTAATGTCTTCAGACCTTTTCCTGCTTGTGGTTTTTGTTCTGATAATCCATAAACAAGATGTTCTAAACCTTCATCCTGAAGAGTGATATATTCAAAAATATTAAATAAAAGTGTAATGGATTATAACTGACTTGAATTAACTAATTTACATTTAATATTTAAAATTCTTTTACCTTTTACATTGAAATTGAAACCAAATTTTTATTCCCAAGTTGGCTTACCTTGAATTAGTTCAATGATGGTACTTTTATGTAAAAAATAAAACACAATACTTGTTTTACAATTAATGAAAAATGTATATTTATATCTGAATATGTTATTTTGAGTATTGTAAAAATAAAGAAATTGCCTGTTAAGGAAACTTGATATTATCTTTAAAAAGATCTATAAAGAATTTTAAAGTTTCCATACTTTCTTGGATATAGTTTGAAGCAAATCACCACATTTTCATTTTTATTATATGCAGTTTATTAAGGTATAAATCCCATCTAATTGGTGAAATATTTAATATGAAATTGGATTGCTTATCTAAATGTTAAATCTAACTGTTTTATGTGATTTTTATTTTTGAAAAATAGCCTGTAAAGAATAAAAATTATTTACAATAATATACATGAATCAAGAATTGATTTCAAAATACTTTGATGGGCATTTGTCTTAGATGTAAGTTTATAAATTATTGACAACAATATTTTGATGCTATTATGGTGAGAAAATGTTGAATTAAACTGAAAAGAAACACAATTCTTCCAAGACAAAATGAAATTTATTCAAAATTTAAACAATTACATTTGATCTACAAAATACTTTTTACATTATTTTAAATGCTAGAAACATACCTGCATTAATACAAACATAATTACTATCAAATTTTTAAGTAATCTAAAATATTAAATAAATCTACACAAATCCTAAATTTATTCTATAATTTTTTAAAAATTACATCTACTTAAAATATATTTTTAAATATGCATTATTTCAAAAAAATAATAATAATAAACTATATAATTAAGTCCCTGAAAATAATTTATTTTAAAAAAATCAATAAATATATTTACATGTTATAATAATTTCAATTAAAAATATATAAAACTATTATGGCATATAAAAATATTTCAAAATTGAAAAATAAGTTTTCAAAATTAAAAATAAATTAAATGTTCATCAAAAATAATATATGAATAATTAAAATATAATTTTTTCTAAATCTATTCTTAGCTGATATTTTTTCAAAAAAAATTCATACATATAATACATCAATTTAATAACTAAATAACTGATATCAAAAAATTTGATTTTAAATATTAAAAGCATTCAGAATCAATTGTGTCAATGATTCAAAAACCCCATACTTACCATTTTTATATTTTAACTGATAAACTTTTGTCGTAAAAATTTCAACTAATGAGAAATTTAATGAATATAACAATATCATCTACAAACTCATCTTGTAATTGATATTCTTATTTATTAAAAAATAAACAGGAGTAAATATTTAATATCAGCTATTTAAAATCAATTAAAAAAATTAAAAACATCATATATAAAGTAACAAAATTATTCATTTTTAAATTTTAATCATTTAAAAAAGAAGTAATAAAAAAGACAAAAATACAATATATAAACAACAAAATAAACAAACAAACAAACATACATTGGGGTATATGTATACTGTATATATAACTAAACTAATTTGATATTTCTTACCTGTAAATTATTATTGCTTAAGTCCAACAATTTTAGATAAACATTTGTCTTCACTAAATTTTGTAACTGAATACCATCTGAGGAGCTCATCTTATTTTCACCAAGATAAAGATCTTGTAAAGCTGTGTTTAATTTAAGTGCTGCAACTAATGTTTTTATCATAAAAAAATTCAGATCAGTTCATTTCATTTTAAATACTTTTCTAATAAACTGAAGATTAAATATTAAAGCAAAATGAAATTCTGTTATAATCCTAAAAAATATATAATTTTATATACAGTAGAATCCTACAAACTAAACTTAATTTGTACTGAGAAGGTGAAGAGTTACCAAAAATGACAGGTTTTGTAGCACAGCTATGATAATATTAGTCTAAATGGTAAAATGGTTTTAAAGGTATAATATGTGCAAATTCATATATGTATTAACTATGTACCAATAGTGACTAGTTCTATTTGTAGTTAATTGTTAATTTAAAAAATATTGTCTATTCTGTGGCTACTTTCAAGTTAGCAACATTAATGTCAAGATGTTTTGGCAGTGACCTTTTTTTCAAGGTGTCACACCTTGAAAAAAAGGGTTGTATTCTTTGTTATCACATGGAATTGATGCTTGTATCAAGCATCATCAGTGAAGAACAAGAACTTATTTGATCCTAGTGTCAAGTTATAGAGGTAAAAATTAGATTACATGAATTTTTTGAATGATATAACAAATTTTACAGAATGTAGTTATTGAGAGTCAAGTTTATGAGACACCACTATATAAGTAAAAGTTAACAAGTAACTGCAATAAAAATCTGATATTTTATATTTGAAAGTTTATTCTTTGAAATTACTTTTCTATTTAAAGTTTTAAATTCTTAAATAATTATAGATGATGATATTACGTCTAAACTAAAATTTTATCTAAAAGTGATCAGTAGACTAACTTTTAGATATAGTATTCCTATAAATGTAATATCATCACTTAATTTTAAATAATTGAAAACTATACAAATTTAAAAAATTATCTTCAAGTTCACACAAATGGTAAATCCTTAACTAATTTTGACCTAAACATGGTAATACAGATCAAACATATGAGTATTTTTAATAAGTACTGCAGAATTCTCTGGAAGACTATAAATTGAATTTGATAAATCTAATAATTAAATGACTTGACATTGCAGATAAGCATGTCATTAATTTTAATGAGCAATTAAAGAATTATAATAAAATTTAAAAGGAGATAAACCTACACTTATATAGTGCACATTATTGCATTATTAACAGTTTAATTTAAAAACTATACTTACAGCTATAATTTATAAAAGTGTATATTGATTATTTTATTTCTTGTTAAATTTTTGAAAATATTATTTAAAATCAATTACTTTATGACACTTATATATTAAAAAACTTATGCTAAATAATAATTTTTTAATGCTTAGTAAATAAATTTATTAATAGAATTTGTTACATTTCTAATTTTTGATTTAAAATGTAAATATGTACTTTTAAAAATGAAAATGTATTCATAATGTATAGTTGCGTTTTATAAGGACTGAAATCAACTACTCTGTTTTTGTATTAATGTATCAAACATTAATTAAATGAAGACAAAGACATTAGAGACAAAATCTTAACATACATACAGTAGAGCGTCGTTTATCCAAAAGCTGGTTATCCGAAAACATTCCAGTCGGCAAATTTAAATTTTCGCTAGTGCTGTGGCACTGCAATCTTTGGTCTTATCTTGGGCTACTCCAATATTTTATTTGTTGGTGTGTGTGTTTTAGCTGGCAGCAGTGGCACTTTTATGTGGTGTTTTTCTGAGGACTGTGTGTCGTGCTGAATCGAACGTTTTTGATACTAGATTAACTTCTAAAGTATAATTTTTTTTTGTTTTTATATTTTTCAATATATTTATTTTGTTTGTAAAAAATAAAGAAATAATTTTTAATGATACAATAGCCACGATTATTATTTTAAATAGTTTATGTTAGGCTTAACATCGATGAAAATTCAATGCGAAGCAACACACAACGGAGAAAAATTTCAACATGGGATAGGTTAATATATTTTTTCGTACATAATCGGTTATCCGAACAACCTCAGTCCCCAATTAATTCAGATAAATGATGCTCTACTGTAATTATTCTTTAGTTTATATTCTTTAACAAAATTATTTCTGAAGTATATAAAATTTTAAAAAATATTGAATTCAGAATAAAAAAATATAAAATATTTAAGGTATATTTTAAAACTAATTTTACATTGCCATTTTAAAATATTAAATTTCATATTTTTTTTTTTAGATAAATCATACCTAATATAATTAGTAATTTTCCTGATAGACCGCAATTTTCCATATGCAGTGTAACTAAATTTGAGCCCAGACGCAAAGCTCGACCAAGAGTCAAAAGACACTGTTCAGTTAAACCCGTATTTTTTGTACTCAAATACTGTAACGATGGAGTCTGAAATAATAAATTAAGAGAGTGAGTTTGCAATTTGAAAAATCAGATTAAAAAAGTTTAAAATATCAAGTATTTCTTTACCTTTTTTAACATTCTTGAACAAGCTTGCCAGCTACGAGAATCTATATTTTTCAGAAGTGACAAAGTTAGTTGGTTTGCAGATTCATAATATTCTATCATATCAAATAATGCTGCAGCACCCTAAAAATTTGAATTAATATATTTTTATTAAGATTAATAATAATTATTATTAAATTATCTTAAAATTTGCAACAATTTTTGAATATTTGAAATAATACAAATTTATTTCTATATTACTATATAATAGTATCATCATCCTCAAATAAAATCAGTTGATTGTTGATTCAAATTTACGATGATAAAATAAATTTCAAACAAATCATTCTACCAAAATGCAATGTTTTGCAATATTTATATATACAATTAAAGTTTTGGATGCAAACAAAAAATATAAAGTATTTAATTTCCATATTTTGATATTAGAGTGCTGTATTTGACAAGCTCTGTCAATTATTTAGTTCTAAATAAATAATTGTTTTGATGCAATATTTAACATATTCTTCAATTTCCATTTATGAACCCAACAAAAAATCACATTTGATAAAATTGAAACGTCCTCTCTCCAGAAGATTATGCCTTAAGGTAAGAACAAACTGTCAGTCTTTTCCCCATTTAAAAAGAAACACATATTGAAATGTGGTCTCCAATTAAGAGAGATCTTTTTAATTGGATAAAAACATAAAAATACATTCACATATAGATTGCACTTTAAATTTTGGGAGACTTAATAAGTTAAATTCACGAATGGGAATTTCACTCCCTCATAATTTTGGACAAAGTAATTTACTCGGTCTTAGGAAACACATTCTGTAAATTATTTGTACCAACGACTGTTTTCTTTTGTAAGTGCCATGCTAATCAGGATTGTGATTCCAAACTCTACCTCCACTTTCAACTTCTTTTTTCCCTCTTCTATTCCACTACCTCTCCTTCCCCACTCTACCCCTCTATACCCTCCCCTTTTCACATGGCTAAGTCCAACTAGGGCAGCTATCTCAACTTTACTTTCAAGTTCAGGTTTTAGGAAACACTGGTCCATTTTGAAAGTGTTCATTGTTATTTAGACTATTGCCATCTACAAACACATTCAAGAAAAATAAAAAATTTCCACCAGCATAGCAATTTCTTATTTCATCAAGGTTTGAACTATTTTTGTGTCACTAGATATTTATTCAGTGAAAAGAACCCCAGATCATCCATGAAAAATACACACATTTTGAAGCATCATATAATATCCAAGTTCTCATTTCAAAGTAATAAAGGAAAGGATATTTATATCAAAATAAATTATCAAACAAGAGATTTAATGCAGATCTTACAATTTTTTTTGGTGTTTTACCTGAAACATATGCTGTTTGTGAGATGCTGTGCATCTAAACTTGCTTTTAAATGCACAGAATTAAAGATAATATTTATGATAGTTCATTATAACAAGTTTGTTTTTTTTTTATATCCTCTCATGTGGTAAATGATGGTTTATCATAATCTTTAAATTTAGCTTGCCAACTACCATCTGTGACTCACACTAAAAATATATATTTTTTTCATTATTTATAACAAAAATTAAAGTGAAAAAGCATATTTATATGCTGGATTTTTTGGGCTATATTTAGGTTAATATTTTAATAAAGTTAGTAGATTAAACATCCATTTTTGGGCCAAAAATTAAGGCAGAAAAACTAAATTTGGTTTATGATTATGTTATCATTTTGTTATTTTTCATTTTATTTTAGATAATATTTTTATAAAAATTGGATGCCTAGGGTATGAATATGGTAATGCACTGGAATATAATGATACACTTTGTTTTTTTATCAACATAAATGCATCCAGCATATTTCACTTTATATATAATTTGCATCATTGCTTGTGCTCCAAATATGGTATACATTGGTAGTGTTTTGTGGCTGTATACCAAAGATAAATTCCTAGTAAAAAATTCAGCTAAAGTAAGTAACAATGAATTTTATTTATTAAACAGTATAGTTTTGCATTGTATACCTTAAATTAGAATAATAATTTTATTTTACCTCATCATCTAAATGACATTCTTCTAAATCTACTTTTTTAAACTGAACCCTCTTAAAAATTTCTTCTAAAGCTTCACAATGTCGTAAGTCTAAATTTTCACCTACATTTAAAAATTATAATAGAATTCATATAAATGTTTGACTATAAATAAGTTAACAAAATACATACACAAATAATATTTTATAAGTATTATAAAAAACAAAACATGTCAGTTTTTACAAACACACTATTTATTAATTTTAATAACTATTTAATAATAATAAATATGTAAAATAATTTTAAACAACATACTTCATTATTCTAAGCAACAATTATCTTGTCTGAATATAATAGTTTATAATATTCACTTTTTGTATTTAATCTTTAATCTTTATATTTATCTCAAATGGAATAATTTGCTATTTAAAAGGCATGGAATATATTATTCATTAAATTTTAAAAGTTAATAAAAACAACTATAGCTGACTTTCACCATTTTACAATGTAATTAGTGCCTGGTAAACTATCATTAATCAAGCTCTAATTTTATATAGCTCACTGCCATAAATTGGTTCTATTCCTGAAATAAATTTTGAACAATAATACATTTTATCAAATGGAAGAAGAAAACATACTTAAATATGGCATGTCATATAATCATAACAGAAAATTTATACTACTAGTAAAAGTGGAAGGATATAAAGTGAGGAATCAAAACAGAAGGTCTATTTTATAATAGATTTAATAAAAGTTTCATAGTAATCATTATTATTCCTAATACTAATGTACTAAATCTAAAAATGTAAGTTTAAATTTTATATATATGTTATGGACCAAGGGATTAATGGAGCATTATAAATAATGCCCAGCCATTATGAATAATAACTAAAATAGCCACACAGCTTGATAAATATTGACTAATTTATTAAATTGACCAAATATTATGAATACAGCTACATTTCCTTTGGTTAATTTGATTTTAAAAAAAACTCCACTTTTTTCATTGAAATAATTCACAAAAAATAAATAATTGTTAAAGTATTTTAAAAATGTCATGAGATTTTTTAAAAGTAAGTATTATTAACTGTATCAATTAATAATACTTTTTGTTAATATCAGTTTAACAAATTTATACTTCGACCAAAAAATCAACTTAAAGAAAACTTCTAAAATGTCATTTTTGTTATATAAAAAATTCATTGTAATTAGTTTTAAAAAGTCTCTCTAAATCATCCTCTGTATTAATGTTGGTCAATGATTCATCAGATATAAAATTCTTTAGTCTAACTTTTAACTTTGCTCCAAACTTGACCACATTGAAGCTGCAGTTTATACTAGTATGATGTGCTCGATTTTTCATCAGTTGTACAAAATGTAATTCTTCTAACCATTTGTTAGTGTTGTTAGTCTCCAACCAAGAACTAAGCATATTTTCTATGTCTTGATTACATCTTTCTACTGAACCCTGACTTTGTGAGTGCTTGGGCTTACTGTGCACCAGTTTTAACTCAAGCTACATACTACACAATTCTTTGCTGTTATTGTCTTGTAAAATACTCAATGCACCAAAAATTGTAAAAATGTCTAAAAGAACTTAGGCTACATCTTCAACCCTTTTGGTTTTTAATGGTCATAGTTGAATGAATTTAGTCAGATGGTCTTGGTACATAAGTATAAGTTTATATTGCTCGTTGGCTTGCAACTGCATATCTATAAGATCAAGCTGGCATCTTCAGTTCATTTCATTACTTAAAATGGGTATAACTACCAAGCCTTTCTTAGGAACATTCTGTTTTTTCTGACAAATTTCACACAAGTGTAAGTAAATTATCTCGTATCCCTTGTAATATTTTTATATTTCATACCTAATTCTTTTTCCATATGGTTTCTGCCACCAATAGCAATATGGTCATCATGCAATACCTGAAATATTTCTTCAGTGTGAATGTAATATTTAATCAAACTACCTTCTTTTACAGGCACAATTAATTTTTCTATTTCTCTGATAGATACATCATGTCTACATAAATGCTGATATTCTTCTGGTAACTTTTTTAAGAGCCACAATGTGAAATTTTGATTTTTGACACACTTGTTTTTTGTGTCATTGTCAAATACACTAATTTTGTAAAAATTTGACTGTTTTCACCTTTTGCTGCTATTAACTCATTTAATCAGTTGTTGTAGCAGTTATTCATATCACTTAATGATTGCTCCATGATCATTACTTTTTCCAAAGAAGAAAATACTATTTTAAGAAGTAAAAGTAAAATTAAAATGTTCACAAGATTAACTATTGGTAGCATAAATTTAATATATGATACTAAACTCAATATGCACATGCAACTCAGATGTGAGTGTTGATTGGCTAGTATATGTCAGATGATCACTGCTCAAGATTGCCTGACCAAGTATTAACAGTATTCAGTGACCAGTCAATCTGATAAATGATGATTTAAAAAACCTGAAATTTATTATAGTGCCTGATTTTGTTTATTATTATTCATAATGCCTGTATTAATCACTTAGTCCATAACACATACATACTGGTATATGTTATATTAGATTCAAAAATCAAAAATGCTCTTTGAGTAGAAAAAAAAATGACCAGAACACATGACTTTACAGAAAAGTCACAAGAAATTTTGCATCCTGGCTGCTTATAAAGAGCCACAATGTGAAATTTGTGTCAGTACTGTTAAATGACCATGACGTGTCATGACGATTTCCCATTTTTTCTATAGTAGCAAATAGAATTCAGGACATATGACTAAATATGTAAAATAACTAAAAATTACAAGTCAAGCACAATTATTTTTACAGGAACTGTTAGAATGATGCTTAAAATTACAATTGATATCTTTTGAAAGACATTTGAACTTTTTTATAGATGCAGCAACTCTCAAAATTGCAGCTTACAAAGAACTCTTAATTAAATGTATTTGACCAAATTTGAGACTGACCAAATTCAATCAATTGACAAATTACTGAGTTGGCTTTAAATTGGCTCTGCCCTTCTTCCTTAATGACATACAGTAATACCCCGACTTATGCGAACCCGGAGTTACGCGATTTTCAAATCTCGTCGATTCATCTTTTGTTTGAGTGCCACGCAACTCTTGATTACTCACTCCCCTGCACTATTGTTCAGCTTACATGTTCGGACGTGTCACGCAGAATTGACAGATAGCTACAATTTGTTTTGTGCTATTTATTTCTGTGTTTGTTATATCTACGGAGACTCGAGAGACTCTACTATGTCATCCAAATGAAGTAGAACTGATTCTTCTGCATCAAACAAAAAAAGAAAAACTTTATCTTTGGAATGTTAAGTTAACATTATTAACTTCGATATAAAAATGAAACTTTGTGAATTGGCAAAGTTTGTTCTACCAGAATCAACAGTCAGAACAATTATAAAAGGTAAAGAAAAAATTCTCGAAGATGTGAAAAATGGTCAATCTTTAAATTCAAGTATCATTCATAAACGTCACGATATTATCACTGAGATGGAAACAATGTTAAAATTATAGTGTGATAATTAAGTAAATGTGAAAAATTGTATAATAATATAATTTGTTATATATATGTATTATCTAAGATTTTATTAAGCATTTTTTTCAAAATTATTTGTATGTATTTATATGCAAAATTATACCCCGACTTATGCAATTATCGCTCGGTCCCACCTATCATGTAAGTTCGGGGTATTACTGTATAAGATGGCAGATTGGTGTATGCATATATGATAAAAATTTCTCATGTTGATTCTTTAATAACATATTGTGGTATGTTGATAATGCTGCAATGAGTTGTGGACATTTTTAAATCCTGCATAAATTTTTTCATCATGACATTTTTTAAAATGCCAGAACATGTCATGGCTCTTTATAAACAATAACAATGCAACAGTTTTTGTTGTGGCTGTTTCTATAAAGGAACCATGCATTCTAGTAATTTTTTATGCTCATAGAATATTTTTTATCTTTCATATATATACACACACACACAAAACTCAATTTAAACAATAACAACAACCATTTCTATTTTTGATTAATATTTTTGATAATAAGATAATTATTAGATGTCTTTAATACAAAATTAATATCAGTGTTTGAAATTTAAAATATCAAACACTGATCTAACTCAAAATAATATAAGCAAACTTAAAGTTCTTATCTTAATAAAATTAATTACAATTGATTTTATTTTATCTAAGCAAAATTATTCAGATTGTTAACTGCTAAAAGTGAAAAATCTTACTAAACAATTTTGTATTTTGAAATATGCAAAAATGAAAAAGTCAAATATGATATTTATTAAAATACATTTTTTATCTAGTTCAAAATTAATTTTATAAACAAAGTCATAAATTTTGAAATATTTAATAACTAATAATAATAATAATATTTATAAAAATTCAATTATTTTCTATTCCTGTGAGTTGAAATATAATTTTGTATTTTTATACAAAACTGGATCTAAATTAATTGTCTTGCATTGCATCACTGTAAGCTTCATAATGAGAATTTTAATTAAGACATCTTGTATTCATTTTACATAATTCAACAACTTCTTAGTATGTATATATCCAGAAATACAATATAATTCTTACCTTTTAAACTAAAATCCTTTTCTCTACCACCAAATGCTTTTATACCCTAAAAAATATTTAAAATTATTATTTAAAGATCAAATTGAATTAATAAATTTTGAGAATTATTCAATCACCATGTTATTTTAAATATATATTTGTGTTTACAAAATGAAATATTTCATATCATCTAATGTAAAAACAAAATATTAAGACATTATAAACAGCTTACTATAATTTATTAAGAATTTTTTAATTGTACGTTTGATAGATGTTAAAAATGTAGAATGTTTTAAATACAAAACGATAACTGCAGCTTGCTTATATTGTGTTCTTGCAGAAAACATTTCTAAATTGGTAAATGTAACAACTATGGCAATAATGTTAATAAACAAAAGGCCACACTGCTAGGATCCATACACATACTATGCCAATACATTAGAACATCCTAGGTTTTTGTCTTCATAATAACCTACAATGTTGTAATGTATGTCAACTAACACCAGCTGATAAACTGGCAGCTGTTATTTCACATGTTGTGATGTATAATAGTAATAATAATAAACTCTAAAATTATTATTATTTTTTTTTATGTCCATGACTTCCAATTCACACAAATTCAAAAGTTAATCATTCAGTTCTTATCTGTTATGGAGAACTTTTAAGCTTATTTTAGACATACATTCACCAATAAAAATAAAAATGTAAAATATAAAATTTATTTATTTTTGCATAACAAATTTGTTCCTCATTGTCATTTTGCAAAATGAGAACAGTGAAATGAGTACCCAATCATATGCAAACAGTAACAAGCATCATTAAAATATGACGACAACTGACAACAGAAAAATTGTTTTTTATGCTTGTTTGTCCATTTATTTATTGAAAAGAAAGCTTCAAAAATTAATTATAATAATAATTAATTAGAAAGTATATTCTTCAAAGCTGCCATGTTTAAATCTCTCTCTTTTTTTTCCTTTTTATTTTAAGAAATTTGTCATTTCAATTAGTGATGAATGTCTTTTGGAGTGGCAAAATTAATAAATAATTTTGCCAATCTGATTGCTAGAATACACATAATTTAGAAATATATGGTATAACCAAATGTAGTATCATTTGTATGGTTATACCACCACCTAATTCTAGATTTAGTTCTGCATATTTCTTCTTGATAGCAAGCTTTCTTTCACACTTATGTTTTCAGATTTCTTTTAAATTTTCCATTTATTTCATATTGTTTGAATATTCATGATGAAACTAATTATCATATAAAGTAAACATTCATAATTATAATTTATTTTTAGTTACTAAATAATGAAAAACACAGTAACTTTAAACACAAAATAGTCTAAAATAAAACATTATTAAAAATTTTATATTTAATACGCAAGGTTTCAAGTTGCAATAAAAAAAAAATTTTAGTTTATAACAATAAAATAATTTGAAAATTTAAAGTTACAAAAACATATTAATTATTATTTATGAATTGCTATAGATACAAAAAAATCAATTTTCGATTAAAATTATTAAAATAATTATTAATGTAATATAGAGTGATATACTAGATTTGATATTAAAATCCTTGTAGACTTGTTAAGAACAAAGCTTTTTCCACTTTTAATTAACTCTATTCTAGCTTCTTGTATTAAATTGTTATCTAGCACTAAGTCCATTAACTTTGGACTTAGTAATAGGCAATACATTTTCAACATCACAATTCTATTTTCTATATAACAATTTTAATGCTAGATCTGTTTTGCATTCAGATATTTGGGTTTTTAAGGCATAGCTGGTTCTCAGTCTTTTCAAAAACCTCTTTTTATATATTGTCACAAAACTAAGGATTGTTTGATAAACTTTGTTTTGTTGTTAGAAACAGATTAACAACAAAAATAGTTTGCAAAAAATATAAAAAAACAAGGAAGAGCAAAACAAACAACAAACACTTTTCCAAACCAAACCATTTGAACATGTCAATGTTGCCTTTTCTTTTGTTTTGTGGCAATATTTATTGCAGCATAATAATAACTTTTATATATTTTATTTTATATTTTGTTATTATTAACCATGTAATTCATTATTTGAAAAAGAAGTTACTGATTGAATGTAATAAAAAGCAAGTTAATAAAATTTTTATCTCCATTTTAATTAAATGTAACTATGTACAGTACAATGATTACAAGAATAAATAAAACATATCCAATATTTTGTATGTATTTTGCCTATTTTTATAATTTCAAATTTAAAAAATGCACATTACAAAAATAATCAAATTAAATTTATAATTTGGTTAATAACCATAACACTTTTAAAAAGTAATGGAGAATCACTATTTAATTTATTTTAAATAATGCCATTAATTAAAAGATTAATTTATAAAGATTTTTAAAACACTTTTTAAAGAATTTTAAAAGCATTTTAAATGTAAAATTTACTTTTTCAAAAGTTATTTCACTCTCTCAAAATTAACAATTAAAATGTATTGTTTTGTTTAACATATCAAATAGATATATATCATTTACAGTTACTATTGCATTATTATTAAAATTATTAGAATTTTCATTAAAAGATCATATCTATCCAAACTGTCTAAAGAATCTTTGCATACCAAACTCAACTAATCAAATAAATAACTTCATTTCCTAGTCAAAATAATCACTTTAGTTATATATAGAGTTCAGATAGATAGAATAGATGAGATGAGAAAAAGACTGAATTTGCACATCCTTATTCCTGTGTATTAATCCATCAGTAACAACTATACTTGACATTGTCATTGCCATGACTCTAGATATTTTACAGTGACAATTATTTTATCTTCTTATAATAAATACACAAAATATAGTATGTTATTTGCTAATGTTTGTTTTGAAATGTTTGTTTTCTTAGGCATATATTTCATAATAATTTAAAATTTATTAAATTCAATAAAAAGTTTTAATAATATTTAAAAATTTTAAAAATCAATAAATTGTAATGATTTTGAATTTTAGTAATAGTTAAAATTATATGTCTATAATAAGAATATCATAAAAACAAAAATAAATATATTTAGATTAACTTATCTATGTTAAAATGACATTCTTACTTGTTAATGAAAAATGACCAATATTAAAGTTATTTTAATGAAAATAAGTTAAAATTTTAATAATAGACTCACAACAACCTTTAAGTGGCCAGTAAAATATTTAATTGAAAAACAAACGTTTTCGACCATATTTTTCAGTATGGTCGAAAACATGTCGAAGTAAATATGGTCGAAAACGTTTGTTTTTCAATTACATATTTTACTGGTCACTTGAACGTTGTTGTGAGTCTATTACAGTAAATTAATATATTGTAAACGAGTGTTTAACCTTTACACAAAGTAAAATTTTAATATTTGCATCAAAAACATCCTCTATTACAGTATGTTTAATTAAAACTAAAAATTTTAAACATAGTATAATAACTTCATATATTATTTAATTTCAATTATTTCAACTTACTATATTTTTTTCCCCTCTAAACAAATAATTACATTTGAAATAATTAAAGTTGCTATAATTTAAATGAACAAAACTGATTAAATTATTAATATTTAAATTTATAAAGATAAAAGTTCAGATTGATACATCTAAAATTAAGGTTATAACTTAAAATTTAAATTTAATATTTTTATATTTATTAATCTTAATGTAAAAAATCAATTCTCAGAATCAAAAATTAAATACAAATTAATTCACTTTAATTTCATTTTTAAAGTACTATTCACTAGTACTTTAAAAATGAAATTAAATAAAAAAATTTCATTTTTAAAGTACTAGTGAATACCAAAGTAACAAAATTTCCTAAAAATGATCATATATCAAATAGTTCTTTACCTGAAGTTGTTGTGCAATACATGGTAAAGGCTTTACACCTTGTTTTTCGCATCCAACTTCATAGGCTTCTAAAACACTATCTGTTTTAGCTTCTGAAACTATAAATATTAAATTAATTTAACATCTCTCATTAATATTTATTTATAAATAATTTTGAAATTCAATTAAAAAATCATTTCATAAGAAACACGAAAAAAAAAATTGTAAAAATTATTGTTCAGAATATTACTAAACTGAAATGGAATTATATTCCACTTCAACAGGCTGATTCCTTTACTATAAACCTGCTGCTCTAAGAAATCTAGGCTGAATCAGGCTGGCAAAAAAGCTAGCCTGACTCAACCTGGGGGAAAAAACCACAAGAATTTTTCATTACAAATATATTGAGCCTTATTCCTCATCACCCAGCCAACCCTATTCTATACCTAGTTGAATCCGTAATAAATATGATTAATTAAAAAGACCTCTTTAGTGCCTGCAATGCAAAAAAGTGATGGGGAAAATTAAATATACAATTTGATTTTAATAGATTTTATATGTAAGATTATATTTTATGTAGATCAACATTAATCATATATGCTTTTCAATATCATATCAAAAGTTTATCATTCATACAAAAAAAGCTAGAATAATCATTTCTTGTCTCCTTTAAGTAGGAAAAAGTTTGTTATTCTAGTCTTCCAATATATTCTAATAATAGCTACTCCCCTTCTCTGCATTGTGCATCCATCCATTAGTACACACACTATGGCCAAATGACCAAAGTGAAAGCTACCGCTCTGGGGGACCAAGAATCAAATCCAGACGAAAAATTCCTACTGGGAATTTTTCGTGTGGTGATCTGTTTGGACATGTCAAGCCCTGCCCCTCACCACCTGGCTGCCCCACTGTGGGCCTGACCAAATCCATAATGGGCCTGCTAAAGAAGGCCCTCTCAGTGCCCACAAGGAAGAAAGAGTTAAAAAACCACACAAAATTACACCTACAAATTACTTTGTTACAATTCCAACTTGACTTTTAACAGACTTAGCATAACTTTTATTACCTTTTTTGAAAAAACATTGAAAAAGTAATATATTGTATTCCTGCAGAATACAAATGACATCATCTTCATTCTTATACAATTTGAAAATACAGTAGTAAACAAACACAATATTCTCCTCAACAGTATGTATAACTGAAAATGCTGAACTGATGGATTAATCTACATACCAATAGGTAATAGTAGGTTATTTGTAAATAAATCTTTTATTAAAAATAATTAATACTAATATTAAATAGGAAAATAAATTTTTTTAAATTTTAGAAACAAAAAACTCTTACTTTAATTTTAATTATTGCATTCTTTAAATTCCTGTTTTGAAATCATAACACAATTAGCCTTTGTCATTTCATAAGCAACAGGACTTCTCGTGACACAACAGAAAATGGTGCAAACGTTAGAATACAGTGCTACACGAGTTATAATGAAAAAAGTATTATTTTCCTAACAACTAGAACCCAATATTTCCATGGCTTATTCCTATTGCTCTTAAACCTACCATTAAGACTCTAATTCTCCTTACTAGCACACACTCATCTTTCCAAATATGATTTAATCATCTAAGAGTACACTCATTGAAAAAAGTTATGCACCCAGACAGAACTGTCCATTTACTACAAAACTCTGCACACAGCTATATCTCAGACAAGTAAGTAAATCATTATAGCTGTGGTATGATTGCATGCCAAGTAATGTCACTAGAATGCCTTAAAACTGCTATCTCAGTATCTTACAAAAAAGATGCACTGTGTTCAGAATTTTCAATAAATCTGTTATTTGAAGATCTTCAAATGCTAGGTATGCCTATACAATACAGTCAAAGACATTATGCACAGCTGACAGAGTTTGAGAAAGCTGCATCAAGCTAAAGGAAGCAGAGTGGTATTTTGCTAAACTGCTCTGTATCTGGGCTGTTCTCACCCAAGTGTGAAACGTTGGGGGCAATGGATACATGGTGGACAGATTCTGGATGTCCAGAAAGATCACCAGGAGAGATGGTCATCTGCATAAGAGACAAACACAACAAACAGCTGCAACAGCATCTTTGTCATTATCCAGAGACAAATAGAAGCCTTGTTAAAGAATCCTGTTTCTTTCTTTATCATCAGTAGGTAAATTTGTATGCACAGTTGCTGCTACATATATTTCCATTATCACACAACATGATTGGCTCCATTTGCAGTGGTGCCATGACAGAAAAGATGCATTGCTACAGACTACTTGCTTATTGTCTTTAGTAATGAATCTAGTTCTGTTTGTGAGGAGCAACCACTGTGTTACAAGTGTGGAGGATCATCAGTGAACACTTCAATCCTACCTTTATCACATTACACTTGCTGCTGGTGTGCTGATCTGGGAAGCCATTTCATATGACAGTCAGTCACTCCTAATAGTGGTATGAAGAATATTGATTGCACAGTGGTATTTTTAGGGCCTCCTATGTCCTCACATGTTTTTCATAGTAGGGCTGCAAACAGCCATTTTTCCATCAAGATAATACTCAGCCACACACAACTAAAATATTCCAGAAATGTCTATCACATTGTCACACTTCCTTCATCTGCTCAGACCCTAGATTTATCACCCATCAAACATTTGTGGGACTTGGCGAAATGTCAGCTTAAGCCATCTATGAGTATGAGAGGTCAGGGGTGGCAGTTACAACATCTGTGAGCAAATCTGTTATAGGATAGTTAGTGCCCAACTGTATTGCTGCATGTATCCAGATAAGAGATCATACAAAGTACTAAAGATGTGATAAAAGATAATTTTTGATTTATTAGATTTATATTTAGTTACTTACATTATTTATTTTCCCATTTCGTTTCAGTTATTTTGTTTTGGAAACTGAGTTATAGTCTTGCTATCTCAACACTTCCTAACTAGAGCTTCATTTGTATAATTTATTACTGAGATTTAAATAATGAATGGAATAACATTTCACTAGTATAATATTTTAGCTGTATTCATCAACAGAAGATTATTTAGAATTTATTCCTACTCATAGATATTGGTAGAAGACACAACTAAATGAAAAGTTATTTCTTATAAACTTGTGTATAGGGATTGTAAATTTACCGACTTTTTCATTTACCGGTAATTCGGTAAATGAAAATTAAAATACCGGTTTACCGGTAAATCTTTTTCCTGAAAAATAAAATTAAGGTGATAAAAAATATAAGTAATTTTGATTTCCATTTCACATTTTTTATTTCAAAGATATAGAATATAAAAATTAAAGTGTTATTCTAAACAAACTATAATAATAACTTTTAGAAACATAAATAAAATAATACAGAAAAATAAAAATAAAACAGAAATAATATATAGTACCTAATACCATTTTATTGTTTACCATTTTTTAAAAAATAACTTCTCAAGAAACTTAAATTATTTAAAGTCTTATCTCCTAATTTTGATCTAATTTTTGTACAAAATAATCCGGGTTAGGTTAAGTTTCTAGACTTTTTCGGACATCATCTTTAAGTAATAAAAATCTTTCCAGCATGTTTAGTAAGCTATTCCACCGGGTTCTACAATCTAAAATTAAAGAAAGTTCTTTTCGTGAGAGTAATGGGGATTCCCCACGAAAATAAGGTTAGAATAATACATATTTTGCACAATCTTAAGGCATAATGTTAGAATCTTGTAATAAATATTTGTATTTAATTATTTTAAACAGTTGTTAGAAGTAAAAAATTTATTTAAGGTACAAATTTTAATGTTATTTTGCAATAATATTGCATTAATGTCCTGTCATAATGTGGTGTATTCAAAATTGCTATTAATTTAAAAAATACGTGAAATATTTACGTATTATTATTTTTAAATATTAAAAAAAGAGATATTTACTTACTCTTTAAGAAAAACGTTGATTGTAAAGATTTTAAACCTTTAAAAATCTCAAAAAACGGCAGAGCACAAATCACATATGCTAACTAGAGCTTTCTGTACAATTTACAGTGCCTCTCAAACCCAAGAAAGTTTAAATTAAAATTAAACAAAAAATATCTCACATAAAATTAATAATTAGGTATATTGTTGCTTACACTTATCTGTATTTTTTTTTTCAATGTCCCTTTAGCCCTTTTAAATATCTATAAACACAATATTTTCTACATAAAAATTTCTAGTATGAATTTTTCATTTACCGAATTACCGGTAAATTTTTGAAATTTACCGGTAATTCGGTTTTTTGGTCAATTTTTTTTGTCAATTTATCGGTTAACCGGTAAATCGGTAAACTGGTATACAATCCCTACTTGTGTAGCAAGCAAATCAGAAATGTGTAAAAGAACATTGTCAAACTGACACAGTAAGCTAGTTTTTACTTTTGCTGATAATTATTTAGCTATTGAATTGCAAGTCATTGACATTAATTACGGGTTTTTCTTCTGGGTTCTTTCCCTAATCAGGTAATTAACCTGACTTTGAATACTAATTTTGTGCAGATAACCCACGGTTTGCATATAATCTGCTAAGGCATTATATACATTCTGAAGAAAATTGCAAAAACAAAAATAAAGTCTCTGTACAATCTGGCCTACTGTATACACAACATCTCTATGGCAGCTGTTGAAAGCAAGATAATTAGTGGCATTCAGTTACCACCATAAGCATTAAAAGATTGCTTTTTTTCCTTACTTAATTGTACTATAAGTGAGTGCACGAAAGTTCAATTTCCCTTCTTTTCTGACTTACGGTGGCATAAAACCTTCTGAACTCTAAAACATTTATTAAATGAAATAGAATTAAAATAAAATGTTAAAAAAGCAAACCAGTTTTTTCTTAGAAACCTTTTTATTACATCGTATTTATCCCTAAATGCATTTCGCCAGTACACTGGCCTCTTCAGTAGGGCTCCAAAATATACAATACAATTCAGTTTGCCAATCACAATAGCTATTCATTACAATCTCTTACTCGGTGATTAGTTTTTATATCCAACAAGGTTTACCCAGCATTCCGCTGGCGCCACACCATTATTTAAATTTACAGAGTTAATTTGCATAACGATTGCAAAATGCTCTTTAAATTTCCATTTTACAGTATTTA